AGATGAATCTCTTTTACTCTTCCATCTATGCCTTTATTCCTTTGACTCTTTGTGAAGTTCCTTTCTTGGATATTCCTGGTAATTATTCTTACCAATCAGCAAACATTTTGGGACAAATTGTAATGGCTAATATTTTAATATAGTGGTCTGGGAGGTGAGCAATCATTTAGTATGCTATATTTCCTGTCAGTAGCCACTCTACCTATATTGTCTGTTTTGTAACAAGCAGATCAACCACTAAGTCTCTGGATGGTTCTCTAATGAGAAGTTCCAGAATGTTTTTCCATACTAGTGTTGCACATGGCAGAGGAATCTGATTGCATTCTATACTGAGAAAACACATCACAGTCGGTTGACACAACATGCTAATCATTGGTGCTCTCTGAGTTTGGTTTCTTCACTTGCAGATGTTTCATTATTCAGCAAAATAACATCATGGTACTTAGTTGACTAATCAAACATTTGCAAACAAACAACCAAGCTCAGAGAGCACCAAGGAGACCACAGTTCAACCTTGAGTTACATATATTCTCTTCTATTGGAATAATATAGTATGTTAAGCCATAAGCTATGCTTCATGAGCCAAAAAGCAGGAGGAACTTGTGGTCAAGAAAGCTTTAGCCAACTTTGGTGGCTCAGTAGTTGAGTTTGTTCCTGGATCAGAAAGCATTGGAAACAATGACTCATGCCATTGTCTTCTCTCATCGGGAATAACTTGAGGTTATTCCCGATGCTGTGGTGTATGATTTAGCAATGGTTTGAAATCTGCATGCCTCAGGGGCCAAGGACTGGATCATACTTGTGAGGACTCTTATAACTGTGGCTGGTGTAGATCTCTTTAGTTCACTGTGGAACTCCAGGAGATGAAGTGATAAAAGGGATGCCTAGAGAGCCACTGGCAAAAGACATACACCAGAAGTCAACCGCATAGAGGTAGGAGATTTTACAGGTATTCTTAAACTTACAACCATTCACTTAGTGATCATTCAAAGTTCCATAGCACTGAAAAGTTACTTGTCCTCACACTTATGACCCATAGTCAGCAGCCCCATGGTCATGTGATCAAAATCTGGACATTTGGTAACTGACATGTATTTACAATGGTTGCAATGTCTCAGGTCATATAATCACTATTTTGCAACCTTACCAATTGACTTCCAACAAGCAAGGCCAATGGGGGAAGCTAGATTTGCTTATTGACTGCATGATTCACTTAACAACTTCAGTGATTCGCTTAACAACCATGGCAAAAACATCGTAAAATCAGACAAAACTCACTTAACTGCCTTGCTTAAAATTCTGGTCCCCAGTGTGGTCATAAGTCAAAGACTATCTGTATTAGCTTCTGCCAAGGGTGAAGTGAGCTGACTTCTCTGCTTTTATTGCATCTGTAGGAAGCTGTTCAGCAGCCCTGTTTTGGGTGAAAAGGCCTCTCTTGAGTAAGATGATGTCGAGAAGCTTTTGTAGACTTTTGTGAAGAATAACCTCAGGATCTGTCAAATAATGTAGTTGAGTTTCATTTGGAGTTAGATGTGAGGGTTCCGACAGCCACAAATGCTTTACGAGTTGACATTAGATTCCACCTGGGCAGATCCTATGGAAGGGCCCAGGGCTCATCGAAATTCATTTATCAGGAAAGAGTTTGCACTACAGATAATCCTCAATTTACAACAGTTCATTTAGTAATCATTCAAAGTTACAACGGCACTGAAAAAAGTGACTTATGGCCATTTTTCACACTTACGATCTTTGTAGCATCATGTAATCAAAATTCAGGTGCTTAGCAACTGGTCCATACCAGAGGTGGGTTTCAGCAGGTTCTGATCAGTTCTGGAGAACAGGTAGCAGAAATTTTGTTTCTAGTTCGGAGAACCAGTAAATACCGCCTCTAACTGGCCCCGCCCCCATCTATTCTCTGCCTCCCAAATCCCAGCCGATCAGGAGGAAATGGAGATTTTGCAGTAATCTTCCCCTGGATTGGGGAGGGAATGGAGAGTTTACAATATCCTTCCCTTGCCATGCCCACAAAGCCATGCCAAGCCCACACCAAGCCACACCCACAGAACCTGTAGCAAATTTTTGAAACCCACCACTGGTTCATACATATGACCGTTGCTTTGTCCCAAGGTCATGTGATCATCTTTTGCGACCTTCTTAGAAGCAAAGTCAATGGGGAAGCCAGATTCACCTCACAACCATGTTACTAACTTATCAACTACAGTGATTCACTTAACAACTGTGGCAACAAGTCGTAAAATGGAGCAAAACTGATTTAACAAATGTCTCACTTAACAACAGAAACTTTGGGCTCAATTGTGGTTGTAAATTGAGGACTACCTGTAGTTGATGTTGAAGTAGACAGAGTCCTCCTGATTTGTTAGGGACTGTGCAGTTAATACCTCATTGTGGGGGGATATTGCTGCTTACCTTGAAGGAGGAAATGCTGTACCCTCTTCTCAAGAGGCCCTCCTTGAACCCAGAAACGTTAAGACAACTTTCATCCAGTCTCCAATCTTCCCTTTCTAGGAAGGTTGTAGGCTGTGGTAGGCACAGCTGTAGGTCCATGATGATGATTATCTGGACCCTTTTCAGATTGGTTTCATGCTGGATTACAGTAGCAAAATGACATTGGTTGCATTTGTGGATGATCTGTGGAGTGGCTCCGGATTGGGATGGTGCAACTATCCTGTCCTTTCTGGATATCTCAGTGGCTTCTGATACCATCCACCATGGTATCCTTCAGGACCAATTTGGGTGTTTGGGAATTGGCATCATTTCGTAGTGGTTCTCCTCCTTTCTCTGTGATCAGTTACAGTTGGTGTTGGTAGCAGGGAAGAGGTTCAATGCTAGGCCCCTCTTGTGTTGGGTGCCTCAGGGTTTGGATCACTCACTGCTCCTCTTAACATCTCCATGAAATTGCTAGGCAAGATCATTCAGTAGCGTGGGGATGGTTACAATTGTTGATATGACCTAACTTGTATGTCCTAGAATGCATTAGATGCTTAAATTTATGTGAAAAGGGGGAAGATTGATAGGGATATTCTAGTTTCATTAATTTCATTAATTTCTCCACAGTGACCAGTTACAATTATCAAATAAATTATCTTGTGTTTTCAAAGCCCGAATGAGTATTATCTTAATTTAGAGATGAGAAACTGAGATAAACAAGCACAGAATGCAAGAGTTGAAAAGGACATGATTTATGGAGCAGGATGCAGCAACATCACTCCTTCTCAAAACACAACCAGCAGCAGAAAGATGGCCAATATTGTCCAACAATGGTTACTGATGTTCTGCTAAAGTTTGTTTCTCTGTAAATTTAATTTCTTACCCTCTGCTGCATCTTGTGTGACAATCCTTGAGATATTGAAAAAACAGACAGCGCATCTCCCTTTAATCTTCAGACTTGAATCAGATTACAGTATTGATCAAATTAAAGTAGTATTGGACATCTTGACCACCTATTATGTAGGTGTATTCTTGACTTATAACAGTTCATTTAGTAACCGTTTGAACTTACGGCACTTGAAAAAGTTACTTATGACCATTTATCACACTTAAAACCGTTGCAGCATCCCCATGGTCACATGATCAAAATTCAGACACTTGGAAACTGACTTATATTTATGACGGTTGCATAAATATGCAGTGTCCCGTGGTTATATGATCACCTTTTGCAACCTTCTTAGAAGCAAAAACAATGGGGAAGCCAAATTCACTTAACAACTGCAGTGATTTACTTAAGAACTGTGGCAAGAGAGGTCATAAAGTGGGACAAAATTCACTTAACAGATATCTCGCTTTTGGGCTCAATTGTGGTCATCAGTGGAGGTCTACCTGTAATTACTCTTTTCATCACTGCAGTTTTTATCTTTTAGTTTTTAATGTTCTAATTTTAAGTAACGATTGTTTATATTTTTTTATGATTGTACTTGCATAATTATTGTGATTGTTATATGCCACCCAGACCCTTCTTATGCGATGGGCAGCTATACCAATTTGATGAATAATGTAATGTAGCATAACATAATTATATTACATTACTTTACATCATTATATAATTTATAATTAAATTTTATATATGTGTTTTTCTATCGAGACACCTGGTCTACCCCAACATGTGGGAGGGGGCATTCAGCTCCCTTTCGCCTTTTTAAATTCTTTTTAAATTTATTTATTTATTTATTTTTTTAATTTGATTTATATGCCGCCCTTCTCCGGAGACTCAGGGCGGCTTACAATGCGTTAAGCAATAGCCTTCATACTTTTGTATATTTATACAAAGTCAGTTTATTGCCCCCACAAACTGGGTCATTTAACCTACCTTAGAAAGGATGGAAGGCTGAGTCAACCTTGAGCCTGGTAAGATTCGAACCTGCAGAAATTGCAGGCAGCTGTGTTAATAACAGGGTGCATTAAACCACTGTACTACCAAGGCCTTTCAACTCCAATCCAGGAGCCTTCAAGCAGTCGCATTCACGACAAACCATTTTATACCAAATTTATATTTTGCTGATAAAGAAATAAAGGGAGACTAGTATAGATCTATTTCAAGCTTTTTAGCTTTCATCAGCTAGCCATACCCTTACTTGGATTCGAACTGGGGCTTCCTGCATGTTATATTTATATAATTATATAAAATAATATATTATTACATCATTTATATTACATTATTATATGTTATGTTACTTTATTATATACACCCCTCAAAGCCATTATTTAAAAAAGATAAATTGCATAAACTAAGCCAGGGGAAAGGATCTCTGAGGCACCAGTTCTTGGAGAGCAGCACTTTCCATTTCAAACATTCAGATGCGCAATATATAACATTTTCATATACATATTTTTAAAGCTTCCATTCTTGCTAGAAAGAGGGTTCTCTCCCCCTCCACCACTCAAGTGAGTTGACATAAACATCTGGTAGGCGCCGGTGCCCAAACTGAGCCTTGCGGCAGCGGAGGAGCTACTGCGCCTGAGAAGGAAGGGGCGGCGCCGGCGGACCGGGGCGGCGCAGGGAAAGCGCGCGGCCTCTTGGTGCGCAAGGAGGGCGCCGTGGCGGCGGTGCGGACTTTCCCGTGGACTGCAAGCGCAACATGGAAGTGTAAGATGACGAGCGAACTGGGCTTCTTTCGGCCAGCAAGCCTTGCTCCCCCCCCGCCCCGGCCCCGGCCCCGGCCCCCGCCACTGAAGTGGTCAAAACGAGAGAGGCGGGATTACACTCAAAGGCAGGGAGGCAAGGGAAGCACCGGGCGTGGGTCTGAACTGCCATTGCTTTCCGGCCATGCCCGCACAAGCGCTTCCCTGGCTTGTTTAAAGCCCTCGCGTTGTTTCGACCGCCTGCAGATGTGGCTCCTCCTCTTCCCCTGGCTGGTTTTTTTTTTTTAAAGAGGTTTCGCGGGTTGTGCGAATGTGGCCCGCTAGTTAGTTCCCGATTCATCTTCCTTGTGCAAGCAAGCCCTGGAAATGAGCTCGTTAGGGAACCAGATTATGTATATCGATGAATCCAGCTATCCTTCACAATATTGCGAGAGGGTGGAGTAAATTAAAAGGCTTGAGTCGAGCCTCAATGCTGATGGCTTTCATGGAGACAGACTCAGAGAGTGGCAACAGCAGGGCAGATTGTCATGGCTTTCTAACCTTTTTATTACTGTTAGTTCTTGGTGTTGTCTACAACCCTAACATTTCCTGTGTTCTCCACTCCAAATCCAGGTTTTGCCCTGCTTAGGTTTTTTTTGGCATTAACCAAATTCAATTGCTTACTTCTGCCTTCTATGTTGGAGAATGCAGTTACATTTTTTCTGCATTGCTTTTTTTTGACACCATCTCTGAATCCAGACTTGTGATCTGTTTTGTCACTTGAGAAGTTTGAGAAGATGTAGGAGTTTGTGAAGAAGAAAACAGTTTTCTGTGTGTTGCAATCATATTTGTATATTTAAATAGGTACAGATTGCTCTTCTATGCATTAATGAAAATAGACATAAATACAATCAAATTTTAAAAAAACCTTGCAATAGTATGCAGTTTACACATTAAAAAGTAATTATTGTATATCCAAAAGTAAATCTCAGTTAATTTAGTGATGGTTGCTTGCTCCCTTTGCAGCATCGTATTAATAGGCAGGCTTCTGGAAGAATAAGATCCAATAAAAATTAAATATTCATAGGATTTCAGTGGAGTTTTGATAAGAATGTTCTGATCGATAGTTACCCATAAGCAATTTATAGACATTATTGGTGATCATGCAAGCAGAAAGTTATATATCCGTCCGTTTTATTTGATTATTTCAAATTAATTAAGCAGGAGTAAAAAAAATTTAAAAATGGATTTAGTTTGGGCGATTGTTCCTAGAATAGGGCATCAGTCTAAGGCAGGGATGTCAAACTCGTAGCGTCATGGCAGTGTCATGTGACTTATTGGGACTTCCCCCCCCTTTGCTAAACCAGGCAGGGGCGGGGCCAGCACGTGACGCATCCAGCCCATGGGCTACGAGTTTGACATCCTGGTCTAAGGGCACATTACTCAGACTAGGTCGCATCATCAGTATGTTAGGGATTAGATTGTGGGATTAAGAGGCAAAACTTTATTTCTCTGCTCTTATTCTGTCCGGGTAGCCCTCCTGGCAACCCTGTTTAAAGGATTGTTTCCTGCTGTGGAAAAATAAGCTTTCTGGACCATCTACAGGGCCGCTGTGAAGAATATTCTAGCTATCTGATGGATAAAGTCACTGGTTTTGCTTGGAGTTGGATTCTAATTTCTGAGGTGCCTGAGGCATTGTCTTGTGGGTTTAGATGAGATGAGCTTGTGACTCCAAGGAAGTGGACATGGTCTTTGAGATGACCTCCTGGCTTGTGAAAGCTACTTAGGAAGTGACCTGTTCTTAGGTCTATGTGATCATGTCATCCTCCTGTGAGGGAAAGGGATGGTCCGCCAGTTTTGAAAGAGGAAGAATTGTGCTCCCCCCTCAAAAAGATATTGCTGGACATATTAGTTTTAGACAATTTAGGCACACTTCAATCATCCCTTTTTGGGAAGATTGCTGAGAAATGGAATTGCAGCTCCGAGGGGCCCACGATTACGTGAAGCCTTTTCAATTAAGACAACAGTGATCACTCTACTTCTAGAGATGAGTTATATACCATCCTGGTTGATCTCTCAGCTGCCTTTTGATATCATATTTGATTCATAGTATCCTTCTGGACCATCAATGAAGATTAGTAGTGAGGGGCATCATTCTTTCCTTGGGGAAAATTCCAGTCAGTGCTGATTTGGGGAAAGATTCCAGTCAGTGCTGATTTGGGGAAAGAGATTGTGGCTGAGGTCCCTAATGTGTATCAGGGCTCAATGCTCCCACCCTCCTTTAGAGATGAGGAGGGCCTTCATCCTGTGTGCTAGTTGACCATGTTCCTGGCCCCAGTGATGGTGCTGGATTTCAGATAGTTGCTGATGCTCTAGACACCTCTATTAACTGTAGACCATTGGAATGAGCCCTTGATGTTGCAGCTGGTCTCAGAATTGATGTCAGTCTTATAAATTTCCATAGCTTTCTCTCTAAATATAATACTTAAAAATAAATAAATTATACCTGTTTAATTTGAAAGATGTATTGGGCATATTTGGGAATATTAATTTGAATTATCCTAAAGCTAAAACTCTCCATCATATCTTTGTAGTGAAAAGAATGGGATCTAAGGTACAAATGGAGGGGAATTAACTATTTCTTACAGACTGATCTTTAAATATGCATATTTCTTTAGAAATCCAACAATTCTTTGTTCATTTCCCTAGTAGGTGTATATTGCATTGTAGCCAAAGAGAGGAAAATATCAACTAACATCATGCTGAGTGTCGATGCAGTAATATAGATGGCAAAACATTTTTAAAAATTCATGTGGGCAGTGGTTCTACCCAGCAGACAAGGACATGGACCAAATTACCTCCTCAAATCCTCTAAAGTGTTCTAAAGTGAGCCAATTCACTCATCTCCCATGTTTTGGGTCAATTGAGAATAATTCTCTGTGGATCTGTTACCCTTTTTGATTATTTTTTCTTACAATAGTTGTTGGGCACGGGGACTCAGATTTCTCCAGATGCATATGGAATGCAAAGACCTTCAAAAGAATTAACTCCACCAACAAAAGAGAATATATGTCCGTCAACAACAACAAAAACACTTTTCATGAAATGATTGTGTCTGTGTGTATATGAACATAATTGCTGTAGCTTTTCTTGTATCCGCACAATGCAATGAGAACTCCAACTCAGCATATTTTCAGAAGGGGCTCCCTTTTCTCGTCCACTCAACCAGTACATTGTAAAGACAACATTAGAGCCTATGGAAGTTTGTGGAAAAGTTGTTGAACTTGTTTGAAAGTGATGAGTGTGGTGGTTCTATTCAAACAGTCGGCTGTGCTTGACATAATGCATTGTATTTTTTAAGTATGTTGCAACAGGGGACCTGAAAACAGTGTCATTCCCTTCCGTTGTAAATGCTAGTGATATTTTCTGCTGCCTATCTATCTAGCTGTACTCATTGTCCTGGGGATGTATAGCTAATTCGTGATAAGTGAATGTGATTTTTTTTTAAAAAAAGCAATCTTAATTTTTTTACTCATTTTCTGAAAATAAAATGAGTTTATTTGCTGTTAATTGGAATGCAGTTCAATAGAAAACAAGAGCAGGCAGGTCTCTGATAAGCCCTTGTAAACAGATTTGGTTTCAATAGTCTTTGCAAGTTATGGCACACTTATTCTTAGTTCCAGGTTAAGTGCAGTTTTAAAAATGATTTATCAGTATTAAAAATCAGTTTTAAAAATCAGTTTTAAAAATAATTCATCAAATTAAGCTTAGCTCTGTGCCCAAGTTCCTTTCAACTTTTAGAAGAAAGTTGTGGCTTTTTAAAGTGGCTTCTCCATACTTGTCCTGTTAAAGTATCATTGTATTTACAATCTCTTTGGATTTTTTTTCCATAGGAAAGATGGAAACGCAGCCCTTCTCAGCAATTATGAGGTAATGTAATTTGTAGTGTTCTGAAAAGTTACATATAAGGTGAATTTTGTTTTCATGACAGCATTGTAATTCAGTAGATCTGGATGACATTCAAGTTAGGGAAGATTTTTTTTTCTAGAAGTGAACTTGTTCTATGTCCCTCCACCATTATCTGAGGCTGCAATATAATAATCATGAGGATACCACCTCCTTCATGATGGAGCCTAGGTTAGTAGTGTAAGGCCAATCCTTTTATGTTTGTTCATGTATTTCCTTAATTGGTGTCTCCTCTTCTCATTTATTTCCTTCTTAAAAGACTAACATCTCTCTCTGCCTTGTGTTTAATAATTACAAAAATGGAAACCATAGAGTTATTGTTACATAATGGGAATTTTAAGGCACCTTGGGAAACCTACTGTTGAATGAAAATAGATTCTGTAAATAAAATGTTGTATTTTCGTAATGTTAAAATAGGACGTTCAAAATGTATCCCTCTCCAGTAATAAATAATTGATTTAAAGAGTAGCCATAAAGGAGGGTGGCCATCATTTAAAATGTAGATATAATGGAGGGTTGCTAGACTGTGCCAGATGAATTACAGATCTGCAAAGGGTTGCTAATTTCCTTTGTTTAATAGTGATGACAAAAAAGCTGCTTCAAATTAGCTGAAATCAAGAACGCTTAAAAATATTAGCAACAGAATGTAGCAATATGCAAGCTGCAATTATACTACTGAAAGAAAATCTTGAGCTGAATACATTCTTGGAGGCTTCTTTTTCTGTAGTTTTTCTGCCCATTTTCTTGAGGAACTATTCAGGATGCATTTAACTGATTTATAGTGAATGTAGCTAAAATAGGTTTCACTAATCTAAAGCCTGGGGTAATTTGAGTTTGGAAACTAACTGGCTTATTGGAAAGGATTTTCCAGTGTCTCCTAATATTTATTTATAGGTATTTAATTTATATGAAAAAACTTATATGGCTGCCCATCTTATATACAATGACATTATGTAATAGTATGTAGATCTTGAGAGACAGGAGGAAGAGCCCCAGTCTAGACAACTGTCAAATAAGAGGTAGCAGAAGGAATGAGGGCATGTCATACATCTCAGAAACTATCCTACTAGGTTTCTTGGATTTTAAAGATGAGGGGGAAGAGATATTCTTTCAGGCTTGCAAGATTCTGTTAATGTAATTTTGCCATAAAGTTAGAGCTAGAACTTCTGGACTTGCTTCTTGCCTTGAGTACCTGGCAAGGCTAATACCCTGGGTGATTCACAGGGACAGAATAAAACACAAAATAACCACAAACCCAACATAAAAATAACTCCAGGCCCTAGAAAACAAAACTGGCCCAAAATCTGTGCATCCACATATTTTGGCCTCCAGGTTTGCTTTAGCCCAACATTTGGGGAAAGAGCCACTTATTTAAGGCCTTTCAGAAGGCTAGATGGATAGGAGTATGTGATATTGAGCATTTTTAATGCAAGTCTCCCAAAGTCACTCAGATGAGATGGGTAGTGTACTAATTTAATATATAAATAAAAACTATTTCAGGGAAGAGTCCTCAAGATGGCCACATTGCTACTTTAAAGTGGTCTTCTGCCACATGTTACTGCAAAGTTCTGAAGATGTTTAAAGCTGTTCCCTCCTTCCCAGGTCTACAAATTGTTGACTGATCTGAAGCAGCAATGCAAAGAGCCCGGGAAGAGCAAGCAGAGTGTTGGCCAGCAGAATCTGAACACAATCACGTATGAAGTAAGTAAAGACATGAGGAAAAATCTTGTGTTTTATTGCATTTTGCTTCTCCATCCCACTTGCCTAGTTCCATGAACAGGAATCTTTTGTAATCCTGCTATCTACTAAAAGAAAAAGAAAAATTCAAAGAAGTAGCACAATTCATGTTTTCCTGTTCTTATACAACATGAAAGAAGCTGAATGATTTTGGGCCACTAACTCTCTCTCAGCCCAACTCACCTCACAGGGTTTTTATTCTGAGGAAAAAAGGAGTAGGAAGACATGGTGGATATGTTCACTATCTTTCATTATTTTTTAAAATTAAATAAAGGCGGGATACATAAATAAAATATATCCCTGAAAACAGTGATATATCAGTGAAATAATTTTCATATTTTTAAAAACAAAATATCTCTATAATATTACTATAGCTAGCAATATAATAATAATAAAGGTAATCCTCGATTTATGACCACAGTTGAACCCAACATTTCTGTTGTTAACTGAGAGATTTGTTAAGTGAGTTTGGCCCGTAACTCACCACCTTTCCTTTTACAACCTTTCCTGCCATAGTTGTTTAGTAGTGAACCACTGCAGTTGTTAAGTTAGTAACACGGTTGTTAAATGAATCTGGCTTCCCCATTGACTTTGCTTGTCAAAAGGTTGCAAACGGTGATGATATGACCCTGGGACATTGCAACTATCATAAATACAGTTGCCGAGCATCCAAATTTTAATTATATGACCGTTGGGATGCTGCAACAGTCATGTGAAAAATGGTCATAAATCACTTTTTTCAGTGCCTTTGTAACTTTGAACGGTAATTAAATGAATAGTTATAAGACAAGGATTAGCTGTAATGACTTAATAAGTGGATAAAAATACCAAATCCAGTCTGAATATTGACTGATTGCGCAATGAACCATAATAATCTCCTATAGTTCTATTACATCAATCCATCACAACATTTCATTTCCTAAGCCTTAGTATAATTTTCTCTGATAATTTCGCTTGTCCTTTTTATATTTCATCCAGCTTCAGTGATATGCATTATCAGATGAGGATTTTTTTGCCATCCTAAAACTGTTCATCCTTGGATTGCCTGAATTCCAAATGTGGTTGAAATTTATTTTGTGAATTTCACCCAATTGTCATTAAGACTTTAAAAAAAGCAAATGACAATGGAGCCTCCTTCCACCTCCTCCCACCCCCCAATCAAATCACACTACTAAAATCTGGTTGCAAAATGTTAAAATAAAGCAACATTAAATGATTAAATGAAATAAATAGCAGCTTTGGCAAGCTCATTGCTCTTGCTGTAAAAAGAACCACAAAACAAAACATTTTGACTTTACACATCCACAGTAATAATATTATTTGCAGCATTTGAAACCAGGAAAAAAGAAGTGTCACTCTCAACTGAAGATGGCCTGCTCCACTGCAGTGGGAATAATATGGAAAATTTCTTTTTCTACCCTTCCAGACACTGAAATACATATCAAAGACACCATGTAAATTCCAGAGTCCTGAGATTGTAAGAGATTTCCTCATAGCACTGAAAAATCACAAGCTAACAAAGTAAGTTAAAAATTATACCATGCAACAATGGATTAGAAATGTTTGCTTTGGATTACATATATCCCAACTATTCATAATAATATTGTTGAATTGTTTGTGTTCATCAAACTACTTTCAGCTCAGACCAGGAGATCCCCTGGTGGTAGGGAGCAAGAAAGTCAGCTGTAATATGTGTGATGTTCTCCCACTTTTGATTACTGTTTTTATCCATGTTTACTGTTTTCATTGGCTTTGTAGTATGTTTTAATAGTAGATGTGATTGTATGCTGCCCACATAAAGTCACTGTGTGAAATAGGCAGCCGTATAAATGTTATAAATTACTTATTCATGGGAAATCCCAAGTAACTGTTTGCTGTAATAATATTTGAAGTAAAACAGTATTTAATCATACAAAAATGTATTATATCTAAGTTGAAGATTAAATTCAAGGAGCCTAAGTAAATACTCACTACTTTCAAATATGAGACCATATAAGTCCTTATTTGTTAACTGTGACAAAAGTAATAATTGCTGTATCTGAAATGACTTGTATGAAGGAACCTAAAATCAATTTGTCAAGATTGTGGATTCAGTTAATGACAGGATTGCCATTGCTAAGTGAAGCAATCACACTTTATGACTTCATCGCTTGGCAATGGAAATATTTATTAAATTACAGGTACTCCTCGACTTATGACCACAATTGAGCCCAAAATTTCTGTTAAGTGAGACGTTTGTTAAGTGAGTTTTGTCCCATTTTACAACTTTTCTTGCCACAGTTGTTAAGTGAATCATTGCAGTTGATAAGTTAGTAACCTGGTTGTTAAGTGATTCTGTCTTCCCCATTGATTTTGCTTGTCAGAAGGTCACAGAATCTGATCACATGATCTTGGGACATAGCAAAGGTCATAAATATGAACCACTTGCCAAACATCTGAATTTTGATCACATGATCATGGGGATGCTGCAAAGATCATAACTATGAAAAATGGTCACAAGTCACATTTTTCAGTGCTATTATAACTTTGAACGGTCACTAAACGAACTGTTGAGGACTAAGTGTACTTAATAAGGGAGCTGGGGTTTTAAATCTACTATGCAATGTTTATTAAATATTTTACTTGTTAAACTTTTATCCAATGTCAAGTTTAATTTATGCTTGTAACTTGCTTTTGGGCCTTCTGGCTGTAAACAAAATTGATTGGTTTAAATTAATATTACAGGTTAGCAATAGAGAGAGGGACTGGGGTTATCTATCTTTACATATATAACAAAGAACATTTCTCCTTTAAGAGAATGTGCATTAGGAATGTTGGCAGCCTGCACATTATCAGGAATATCTATCTTCTGCTGACTACATGCACTACATGCCCAACAGCCTTTTTTTAAATTAAACCAATAAACATTCAGAAATTTACATTTTAAAAGCTGAGGAAAATGTTATCTCACTACTTAGACAACTAGTGGAAATACCAGGTAAGCATTTAGACCAGGGGTGTCAAACTTGATTTCACTGAGGGCCGCATCAGGGTTGTGTTTGACCTCGGGGAGAGGGTGTGTGTGGCCAGCTTCATGTCACTCGACGGCCTGCTCCAGCCCTCTGGCAGTGAAAACAGAGCTCGGGAGGGCCCCTTGGGCCAGATCTAAGCATCCCGTGAGCCGGGTGCAGCCCATGGGCCTTGAGTGTGACGCCCCTGATTTAGACTGTATGTCTGGAAACTTTTCCTTGGCACTTCTCTCTGCAAAACTCCCTTCAATATATAATAATCCTCTCACATATTTGTTTTCTATTCCTAAAACCTTTAAAGTAATCAATTTCTGTCATAATCCTTCAAAAAATAGGTAGTCCTTGATTTATGACCATAATTGAGCTTGTATTAACATCATAAGTTGTGCTGGTCATTAATAAGTCATCATGTGATCAGCCAGAATTTGCCACATTTTTGCAGTGGTCATTAAGAGATTGGGCCTTCTGGCTGTGATTCAGCCACAATTATTAAACGAACTCATTATTTGAAATGGTCATTTTCTGCTGGAAAACAGAAGTTTCTGGCAAAAAAAAAAAGTTATAAAATGCAGTCACATGACCCCAAGACACCGCAAACAGCTGTCGATATAGGAGGGTTGCTGAGTGCCCAAAATGTTATCACAGACATTGGAACTTCAATCTGGGTTGTTAAGTACCTTTCGGGGAGTTCATCGTAACTTTTGAACAGCTGCCAAGTGACTGATTAATTAGGCGAGGGCAATTTGTAGTAAATTTAGTTCGATTTTAATTGTTTTGGCCTAAAAATATTATATCAAAATAAAAAGCTGTGAAGAGAATTGTAAGAATTGCCACAGTACTTTTCCAATGGTAAATAATACTGTCTTTCTGAGCATTCACTTGATCTGTGTAATTGTTTTTGATAATCCTTATTACCATTTTCCACAATGGTGTCTGCAGCAAACTATGAGGACACCAAAATGACAACATTAATAAAAAATAATATATAATTTAATATAATCACATTAATGCTGTGATTTGGTACCTGCCCCAGACATCTTGATGCTTATAAGTAATCATGAAATTTGTGTGATTATACCCTGTTTCCCCCAAAATAAGACATCCCCTGATAATAAGCCCAATTGGGCTTTTGAGCGCATGGCAATAAGGCTCAGTGCTTATTTCAGGGTTCAAAAAAATGTAAGACAGGGTCTTAATTTCGGGTAAACACGGTATCATCACACACATTGCCATTTGTTATTCTTCTGACCTCTCCAGCAAATGAAGGAGCCTGCATAAAGGCATCCAGAGAACGAATGGCTGAAGTTGGGGGCTCTCTATTTGCATTGTGTGCTATTGAAGAACATTTCATGTTATACCTTCCTGTTTACCGAGTTAGATATCCATGGTTCTATTTGTGTTGCTAAAACAAAAATTCCCAGAAGCCTCAGCTTGCTGGACCAATGCTCAGTGATAGTAAGAGCTACAGAGAATCACATCTGGAGGCTGCAAATTCTCCATCTGTGTTTACAGTGCTCAGTTATACATGTAGGGCTGTCATCCAGGTTCTGTATATAGAGCATAAATTAGTAGTTGGTACCTCTAGATGGCGCCCATTGACAATATAATTGTTACAGGAAGGCCAGCTCTCACCAGATCTTAAAAAATATATCATTTTTTCCTTTTTTAAAAAATAATATTTTTATATAATTTTTATTTGCTGGCTGGCAATGTGGGGCATTGCAATCTCTATAGGTCTGGAGGAGATCAGATTGGAGAAAGTTGATGTATATAGTGTTTTATATTATTTAGCAACTCTATATGGTAGGCAGTAATTTGTGGGGTCATTGGTACTATCAGAGCTTGGTTATTTTCTTGCAGACGTTTCATTACCAAACTAGGTAACATATCCCACAGTTCAACCCTGAACTGCAAAAATTCTCTTCTACCAATAATTTCCCCCCAGATAGCTGATATAGCAAAAAGAAAAAAAGAAAAGACAATTGTGCCTTCAATTGTCATATCATGTTTACAGGTCCTTCCAGCATTTCAGAGGTAATCTAGATGTCCAGGTTCATATAGATGAAAACAGGCTTTGACACCTTTATCTAATAACATCTTAGAAATCAGAAAACAGATATAAGGAGGAATAGTTTCCTGCACAGACTCAAGTTTTGTTATATAGTGATGGCTGAAACGGAGCATCTAAAATGAAGAGGCACTCACAATATTAGTGAGAAGGAAATCGTAATGTGAGGAAGCTGCTAAAAAAGCAAAAGCTATTTTTGATTGCAATAAGAGGAGCACAGAGTCCAGAAAAGAAGATATAACTCTTCCATTCTGCCTTGGCCAGATCCCATGTGCTTGGCACTCTCTTGGCATTGTATAGAATAGAAACAGATTGGAATGAGTTCAAAAGATGACTAGATAATGAGAGGCTTGGAAACAAAACTCCCCAGTTAAAGAGTCTGTGTGGGCGTGGCCTATGGAAAAGACAAGTGAGGAGAAATACTGTTCAGTAACATTCTTAAAATATATGAAGGAAAAAAGGAATGAATTTACTCTGTATTGCCCCAGAGAGCGTGACCAGAACCATTAGAATAAAATTACAAAAATGTAGATTCAGAGTAAACTTCAGCTGCCATGTGAGATTACTTCTCCTTTGCTAGAAGTCTTCAAACAGAGGCTTAATGCTCATCTATTAAAGATGCTAGAAGAAAACGGGGTTGATGTTATTATTTATAAATTCAAAATATATGGCCACCCACTTGCCATGTGACAGGCTGCTTAACAAAAAATTAAAAACAACAAACAAAAAAATTAAAACACATTGCACTGAGAAGAAGAGTCCATAATCTCCTAATCCTGTGTGGAGAGAAGAGGCGTTTTAGAGACAAGCAGGATTGGATCCATATTGGGGGGGGGGGGGGGGGGGGGGGGAAGAGATGCTGTTACAGAGACAGTCATAGTGATGGAAAAGGCACATTTCCTGGGTCCCACAAAGTAATACTGCTTGAATGATGGGACCCTAAACATGACAATCCTGTCAAATGTTATTGATGAAAAAAGGTCATCCAAGACAAGCCAGGCCCTATGCACTGAAGGATTTTATAGGTGATGACTAGAACTTTGAATTGCATCCAAAAGTCTACTATGCAATTCATATAGCAGCAGTGTTTCATGGATCAATGTGTCCTCATAATTACCAATGCTACTTCCTTCTGAACTAGCTATTTCTTTCAAGTGATCTTCAAGAGCAATTCCAGACTTCTGGTGGCACCGCCGACGTTGCTGGATGCTCTCTTTCAGAGCGCCAGCCCTGGGATCTTGTAAAGCTGCCTTGACAGCGCAAATCAGCTGTCTGGCAGCTGGAAAACCTTTCCCCCGGGAGAAGAGGGAAAGGAGAGCAATTGGATGGGGATAGAGCTCCCCGAAAGCCCCTGAAACAGTTTTGGGGGCTTGGAGGGTGAGAGCTCCCCAGGAAGTCCGGTGAAACTCCGAGATCCAAGGCGCTTCTGCTTTAAGCAGAAAAAA